CTCTGCCTGGGGAAAGGAATTTATGACTTATTTACACGTCCACTCAGAGGAAACAGTCTGACGAGTTTCCCAGAGTTCTCGGCTCTGACAAGTATCGACGCCGATCCGGCCCCAAGTGTTGGCCGAATGGAGGAGGACGCAGAAATGGCCGAACATCAGAAGCACAGGAGACCAAAACCTGCTGTGGTTACTGCAGAATAAACAAACGTTTGAAACACTCAGCTGCTCACAAATAAAAACTGCTTTTGAGGAAGTCAAATGAAGCATTTAGTTCAGGTTGAGGGCTTTAAATTTTTCAATTACAGCTAAAATGCCCTTAATGTTCTAATTTAGCTCCGCTGGGAGTCAAAACCATGTCTGCCGCTACATTAAGAGCCTCACAACCCCTCAAGGTGCCCCACGTCCTTTCAGTTTATGTTAACCCAGAGTCAGGCGTGGTTTTGTGTTGGTCCTGTCCCTGCAGGCCCGTGTACACTATCACTGCGCTGCTGTCCTCAAATGGAGCTCAAGGTCAAAGGTCACTGTTCTTTATTAATCGCATTATCATGCGTTGTTGATCCTTATTACTGTTAGTTGTTTCAGCCTGAGGGGGAAGAGACGTCTGGGGAAAGGGGGAAGCTCCAGTCTGGAGTGGATTTTTAAAATTTTTAAATTTATCGCTCAGCCATTTAACAATGTTGGTATTTTACTTGGGTATCAAGAACTATAGTCAAAATTGACTGTTCCAATTTGTCCTGGAGATCATGCAGAAGTTTTTGGTGCTTCTTCCTCAGAAATCTGCATGTTTTTCAGACAGAATGATACAAGATGGTACGAGTACAAACCAGTCGATGTCTTTTTCTTCACCCTGTGACTGATGTCATGTTGAGAATGTACCAACTACTGAAAACTATTAGGACATCTCTTCAAAAATGGCCAGACTATACCTTTAAGGGGAGCCAAGATGAGTAAGTGAATAACCCTGTTAGATGCTGTTCTTGTTCTTGGGTTTCCCATAATGCAGTGCTTCTGTCACACCACTGAGCTAAAAGCAGCCATGCTGGCCTCTGGCAGCTCATACTCCTGAGGCCCAGTGTCCGAGTCGAACCTCTTGATGTGCCACGAGCAAGCGAACCGATTGCTATGTTGCTTTCTTTTTGATTTGAAAAAAATCTGTTTGCCTTTTTATAACTGTCTAATGTTGCTGTTGTCCATTGTTGTCATCATTCTTTGTTGAAATCAGGTCTCTCTTGTAAATGAGTCCTCGAGGCTCAGTGGGATTAACCTGTCTGAATAAAGGTTGAATGAATGAATGATTTATTAACAGTTTAACATTTCATTGGCCTCATGGAATGATGTCATAGACCATATCTGGCCTGCAAGCCAGCTGTTGGTGATCAGCAAATACAACTGTAATATGCTGGTGTAACAACTGTAATAGGAATAAACATGCTTGCGCTCTAAAGCTGCAGTAATCCAGGATCTGTTCTTAGTTGATAGCACATGAATGAAGAGCAGCAGGCAGAGCATGAGGACGATATCAGTGGGGGGTGGGGGTGGGGGGTAGGCATGCTGGCATCCCTCCATCCTCTCATCCTTGCTTTTCTGATTTGGCACAACAACATTTGGCTAGCTGGGATGGGGGAAGGGAGAGGGGCAGTTGCCAGTTTCTGGGACACCCTACCCCCCATCTCTCTAGCTTTCCCTACTGGCACTGAAACACGCACACAAACACACACACGCACTCGCAGACACACACACACATGTTTTAACTCTTTTCTTCCTTTATCAGATCCAAATACTAAAATGTGACACTCGTGTTTTCTGGCAGAGCAGGTGGACAAAAAACGATGTAGCAGCAGTTTACATGCTACAACGGAGCATTAGGGCCACGCTAAGAAAAATAAATTTACATTATGAACAAGAATAAAGTCATACTATTACGAGAATAAAGTTGAAATATTACCAGAATAAAGTCGTAATATTACCAGAATAAACTCGTAATATTATCAGAACTCTGACATGAAAAATCAGTCTTACAACTGCGGTAAAATGATGAACGTTGACCTCGGCAGTACAACAGCAGGAGCCCAACGTACTGTGGCATATGGATTCTTATGATAAACTGAAGCTATATGGGACTGCAATTAATGGCTGCATTGACAGATTTAGTCATGACATAATCTGGATGGAGGCATATTTCACAAGCTGTGACACAAAAGTGATCACAGG